TCGTCGTCGTCGTCGTCGTCGTCGTCGTCGTCGTCGTCGTCGTCGTCGTCGTCGTCGTCGTCGTCGTCGTCGTCGTCGTCGTCGTCGTCGTCGTCGTCGTCGTCGTCGTCGTCGTCGTCGTCGTCGTCGTCGTCGTCGTCGTCGTCGTCGTCGTCGTCGTCGTCGTCGTCGTCGTCGTCGTCGTCGTCGTCGTCGTCGTCGTCGTCGTCGTCGTCGTCGTCGTCGTCGTCGTCGTCGTCGTCGCGTCGTCGTCGTCGTCGTCGTCGTCGTCGTCGTCGTCGTCGTCGTCGTCCGTCGTCGTCGCCGTCGTCCGTCGTCGTCGTCGTCGTCGTCGTCGTCGTCGTCGGTCGTCGTCGTCGTCGTCGTCGTCGTCGTCGTCCCGCCGTCGCCGTCCGTCGTCGTCGTCGTCGTCCGTCGTCGTCGTCCCGTCGCCGTCGTCGTCGTCGTCGTCGTCGTCGTCGTCGTCGTCGCGTCGTCGTCGTCGTCGTCGTCGTCGTCGTCGTCGTCGTCGTCGTCGTCGTCGTCGTCGTAGTCGTCGTCGTCGTCGTCGTCGTCGTCGTCGTCGTCGTCGTCGTCGTCGTCGTCGTCGTCGTCGTCGTCGTCGTCGTCGTCGTCGTCGTCGTCGCCGTCGTCGTCGTCGTCGTCGTCGTCGTCGTCGTCGTCGTCGTCGTCGTCGTCGCCGTCGCCGTCGCCGTCGTCGTCGTCGTCGTCGTCGTCGTCGTCGTCGTCGTCGTCGTCGTCGTCGTCGTCGTCGTGGTCGTCGTCGTCGCCGTCGCCGTCGCCCGCAGCCCGCCGCCCGCCGCCGTCCGCCGCCGTCGTCGTGGTCGTGGTCGTCGTCGTCGTGGAGCTCGACCACAAGAAACCTGCCACAAGAAGCCCAACCCTGGGACCCCAGGACGTCTGTTGACTTGTGGTGTGGGGGCCCCTATCTTTCCATCGCAAAAACCATCGATGCCCAAGAAACCCACGACACCCTGGCTGCAAGCAGGGTGTTTCTTGGCATGGCTTCCCACTGTACGACGCCCAACAGCAAGTGTTCTCCAAAACCGACAGCGGCCGCGGTCGGGCAGGCGACCTTCTGCCTCAAATGGACAGCGCCCGCGGCGACACCGACAGCGAGTCCTCTTCACAATGAGCAGGAACTGCTGTCGGTCTTCGTACCCATACGCTCCGTACGCAGTTCGACCCTACCTTGGCGGCGAGCCTGGGGGGGGGGAAATTCGAAGGGACGGGCCTTCTCAGAAGGCGAAGTCCCGGCGGCTTCTCCTTCTCATTCCCCTCCCTCGCTCGCAATCGAAACGTTGGGGGGCGACGGGCTCACGGGGGGGATGCATCGACCCCCCAATCGCCGATAGAGACAAAACTGATAGCAAAAATGCACGATGAAGATGCAAGGGCCTCGGAAGGCCGTACCGACACTCTTCGAGCGGGGCGCGGCCAACGGAAGTGGCCAAGGATGGGCAGGGAGAGGATGCAAGGGAAACCTTGGAAGGTCGCTCATCTTTGCCATTAGTGTTGACTGCAGGTGCCCGATAGACCACCCCGCCCAGGACGTTGCGGTTTCGGTAGCCGAGAGCCTGTCGCCACATGGAGGCGGCGGGGGGTCTGAATTGGTTGGGGCCTCAGAAAATCGGTCATGCCAAATCCGCTCAAAATCGGTCCTTGGACTCCTCCCAGGGTCCATCTGGTGCAGCTGTTCACCCCAGATCGGGTCCAAGGGCCCGAAAACGGCCCCCAGAGGACAGAAAAGGCCAAAACAGGAACCTTCCCGAAGCCGGAACCTCGAGCATCTTTCCCCCCCTTCTTCGTGCTCGCCAGAACCCGTGCTGGGCCGCCTGAGACCTCCAGCCGGCTCCCAACCGAAAGCCCAGCGCCACCATGGCCGCGACGGCGGCCAGGACGGCGGCAGCGGCCGCGGCCGGCGGCGGCGGCGGCGGCCGCGGCCCACCCGGGGCGCCTCGCGCCGGCGTCGGCGGAGCCCCTCGCCCTCGGCGGCGGCCCGCCGAGGGCCTTCTGCACCGAGGCCTCCGCGCCGGGCGCACGGCGGCGGCCGCGCGCCGCGCGCTGCGCGCAGCGGCGGCACCGCCAGCGGCCACGGCCCAGCTGGGCACACAGGCCTTCGTGGGAGCCTCTGTGGACCTCCACGGCCCCATCGCAAGTGTGATTTCGACCGGATTTCGTCCAGCTTTCGACCACCCCTCTTCACCCTTTCGTCCCGATGTCCTCCAGAGGTCGACCGAATCCGGCGAGATCTGGGCGAAATCTCCCCCAAACCGCAAGGCATTTATGGAACCTCTGCGGCTCCGAAGACGGACTGCACAAGCCCAGACATCCGACGATCTGATTTTTAAATCCTGGCGTGCCTCTATGAGTACCGTTTAACCGATCTCCATCCCCAGCGGCGTGGCCTGGGCCCCACTGGCCGACTCACCCCCCTGGATGGGGATATTGGTCGTTCCCTTCGGGTTTCGCGGGGTGTATCCCAAACTGGGGTGGTACTTTGGTGGGGGTCTCGAAGGGGATGAGGATGGTATGGGGATGGGGGTCGGACAAACGACACTTCGGGGGCCCGGGGATCGGGGGCCCTTGGGCCAGCAGAGAGGGCGGGCGTCCGGGGCGCAGAAGCTGGCTGGACCCCACAACGGGAAGGGGTCGGGACCGCTGGGGCATGGAGTGGGAAACAGCGTGCCTCGGGACGCCCTCGTCGTCGTCGTCGTAGTCGTCATCGTCGCAGCCGTCGTCGTCGCCGTCGCCGTCGCCGTCGCCGTCGCCGCCGCCGTCGCCGTCGCCGTCGCCGTCGCCGTCGCCGTCGCCGCCGCCGCCGTCGTCGTCGTCGTCGTCGTCGTCGTCGTCGCCGTCGCCGTCGCCGTCGCCGTCGCCGTCGTGGAGCTCGACCAACGACACATCGTCGGAAACAGCGTGCCTCGGGACGCCCAGAGTGGGTATGGAAAATTATACTACTGAATTCAAACGGGAAACCGGACGACATCGGATCCGTGGGCCCCGGAACCCGCCCGCGTTAAGATTCAGCGGGTGAGGGGGTTCGGTCATCACCGTCCCAAGATGGGTCCTGTGCTGGCTCGTGCGCTCCCATCAACTTTCCGCGCGCGAGGGCCCCACTGAACATTAATGTATATCTCTCCTCCTGGACGAGCAGTAGGAGCTCGACCACAAGAAACCTGCCACAAGAAGGCCAACCCTGGCACCCCAGGACGTCCGTGGACTTGTGGTGTGGGGGCGTCGAGCTGTCCATCGCAAAAACCATCGAAGCCCAAGAAACCCACAACACCCTGGCTGCAAGCAGGGTGCTTCTTGGCATGGGTTCCCACTGTACGACGCCCAACAGCAAGTGTTCTCCAAAACCGACAGCGGCCGCGGTCGGGCAGGCGACCTTCTGCCTCAAATGGACAGCGCCCGCGGCGACACCGACAGCGAGTCCTCTTCACGATGGGCAGGAACAACTGCTGTCGGTCGTCGTACCCATACGCTCCGTACGCAGTTCGACCCTACCTTGGCGGCGAGCCAGGGGGGAAATTCGAAGGGACGGGCCTTCTCAGAAGGCTCGGAAAGTCCTCGGCCTCCTGAGAAGTTGTCTGAGCCTTCTCCGAAGGCACTGAAAATGTCTCAAAGGCGCGAGGGCTTCTGACCTCGCGCAGCAGCATCAGCAACAGCAGCAGCATAATCATCATGATCATCATCAGCAGCAGCATCATCATCAGCAGCACCAGCATCAGCATCAGCATCAGCAGCAGCAGCATTATCATCACCATCATCATCATCATCATCATCACCACCACCGCCACAATCAGCATCATCATCATCATCATCATCATCATCATCATCATCACCATCATCAGCAGCAGCAGCATCAGCATCAGCATCATCATCATCATCATCATCATCATCATCAGCAGCAGCATCACCATCATCGTCATCATCAGCAGCAGCATCAGCATCAGCATCAGCATCAGCATCATCGTCATCAGCAGCATCATCGGGCAGCAGCAGCAGCAGCAGCATCACCACCATCACCAGCAGCATCACCATCACCATCACCATCGCCATCACCATCATCAGCAGCAGCACCACCATCACCAGCACCATCACCATCACCATCGCCATCACCATCATCATCATCATCATCATCATCATCATCATCAGCATCATCATCATCATCATCATCATTTGCATCATCACCATCACCAGCATCATCATCATCATCATCATCATCATCATCATCATCATCATCATCATCAACAGCAGCATCAGCAGCATCATCATCAGCATCATCATCAGCATCATCACCATCAGCATCAGCATCACACTCACCACGATCAGCATCATCATCACCATCAGCATCAGGAGCAACAGCATCAGCATCATCAGTATCATAATCAGCATCAGCATCAGAGTCATCATCAGAATCATCATCAGTCTCATCATCCTCGTCCCCATCATCACAATCGAAATCCGTACGATCATGATCGTCCGCATCCAATCCCCGTCACCATAACAATCGTACTCGTCGTCGCCGTCGTCCTCGTCGCCGTCACCGACACCACCGCCGTCATCGTCCACACCACCCCCATTATCACCATCACCACCATCACCACCATCATCATCCGTCCTCCTCCTCGCTGGGTAGGCGGAGGGATCCGAGGCTCCGACGACTCACCCGACAGCAAGAAACAATCGAGGGAGGCCACGAAAGAGAGAGAGCAGGCGGCAACCCTCGGCCGCACTGGGCGCCACGGCTCACGGGGACGCCCGTCCGCGGGTGGCACTTGGCCTCAAGATTTGAGGAGGAGGAGGAGGAGGAGGAAGGGAGGAGGAGGGGGAGGAGGAGGAGGAGGAGGGGGAGGAGGAGGAGGAGGAGGAGGAGGAGGAGGATCCTTTGGCAGCGACGAGGAGCAGGCAGCAGCAGGCCGCAGGAGATGAGCATCCTCGTCCAACAGCTTCAGGTTCGAGAGGCTCTCGGGCACCTCGTCGGCGTCGACCGC